ACGTCATGTCAGTTGTGAACGACTTTTTTTAGAGTGGCTGAAGAACATTCTTCCTGACCGGCATCCAGGCCTTGCAACATCATTGGCAAAACTGTGTACACCTTAAAGGGGAATATGTAGAATTTTTTTTTAAACCATCTACGTTGTATAGGTCTTTCACCGAAAGACTTGACACTTTTCAGCCAGCCCTCTTTAATCTCTGATCTATACACCGCTTGCCATTTTTCAATCGTCTTTCCTCTTTCACGCTCACGATTTGTTACGTCGTCTCATTACAACATTTTGATCTGTAAATAATGATCATATTTCATAGAGGGGTCGCGATCAGATGGTCGTTTCTGGAATAGGGTCGCAACCAACAAAAGTTTTGGAACTACTGGTCCAGAGAGTTCATTTATGATCGAGCTAACTGGCATATGAATAAATGTCTAAATCAGTGATTCTCAACCATTGTGCCGCGAGATCTTCCTAGGTGTGCCGCGAAATTTTGAACGGCAAACCAAGAAAATGTGAAAAACCACGTGATCGCAATTAAGTCTAGTATCCACTAGTGTGTACTGATAAGTTTATAGCTGTGTTTTTCTTTATTTAGTTTGAGTCATTTTATATGTCTATGACTAGACTGTGTCTACGGTTGTATTCCGCCTGACTTACAATGTTTTTATTTTGCAAAATTCAAATATTTTTCATATATATTTAGCCAGGTGTGCTATGTGTTTCAAGTTGTGCCTTTGGCAAAAAAAGGTTGAGAACCACTGGTCTAAATAATAATTTATATAATATTTGACGCCAGAAAAACGTTCGACAACGGGCAAATTTAGCTCCGGCATATAATGCATCTTTAAAGAAATTTTCCACTTGTTGCTACCTTGAGATTATTGAGATATTACAGTATTTTTTTATATTGACGTATTTTCCAGCAGTTCATTCATTAACTCTACTAACATAATTTTATAGATATGTCTCTAATTTAAAAATCGAAGTATTTATCAGGTACTAATTCACCAAGGAATTGGATGGCAATGTCTGTAATTATAAATATCACCACATCTTTATTTGTACAGTGTATTATTCAAATACATATTTGATACTAAAAATACGAGTATGTTGAAGAACTTACCTGAATTTCTGAATAGTCAAATTCAAGATTTGCTAATGCATTGATGAGTCCTATTTTATGTAAATGACCCCCGAAAACTCCCAAAATACCTAGAAAACGCAAAGAAACTCTGGACCAACAGCGCACAGGCACTTGAAGGGATTAAAATAAAACTTCCTACAACTGCCTGACTACATATTACAGTATATACAAATTTTCTCGCCCGCCATGCTGTTTTCACGCGTTCAAGACATTTCGTCTGCTATCATCTCACAATACTCACTAGTTTGAACACTTTCCGTCATTTTATTCAGCTACCAATGTAATTAAATTGGCAATTTTACAGCGTTATAAATTACAAATCAAACTTGAAGCGCTATCACTTGGCGATCATCAACTTCGTTTGACCGGAAGTAACACGAAATGAGGACAATGACGTCGCGTGGGAGAAGCCCTTATTTTGGATTGGTCAAGGCGTGGTACTAAAAATAAAATTGACTGTCACAGCTAACCCGAATTATGAATCTCAGAATGACAGCTGAATACTGTCATTGGTATGTAACATGCTTAGGATAATTTAATCGATCAAAAATAAAATGGATTTAATATATATATATTACATACATATATACGTAAAATAAAGTAAATGTGTCCATTCTAGAGTTATTTTTATTGCTGACATGTTTCATACAATTTTCAAAGTAATGTAGTTATCTAGAATGGACACATTTACTTCAAATAGAATCTTCAAACTATAAAGGAGATATCTATAATTAAACAATTTCATTTCTGTTCCTTGCAAAGCCGTATGAGCAGTGGCTGGGGCAGATTTCTTGGGCAGACAGATAAAGCGATAAAAAATTAATATATTTTTTGGGGAAAAAAATATTTTGCCTTTTAGTCTGCAAAATGAAGGAACTGAAATAAAGTCCCCCCTTTCCACCCTTATCAGATAGCAACCCATATTATTTCTTAAAACATGAAGAACACCATTTTCATTTCTGAATACTGATACCATACAATGGTATAGACTTCCAGTCCCGTCTTTTTGTTTGTTATGCTTATGCCAGAAACCGGACGTCTCAGGTCTCTGCTACAATATATTTTTCGGGCATCGATCATTATTTGTTTCATAATTTTTAAGAAACCTTTATTTTTTTTTTAAATTGACTCATGAATTTAGAACAGTTAAAATCAGTCTAAAACCTGTGGCTAATGCCACCCTACAGTACTCACTCTGCTTTATGCCATCATTTTATTTTGTTTGTGTGCACAAATAGACGCGTAGTTTTGTTTTGATGCAGTCTGGATCACCGAGTCCCTAAGCAAATCTCGTATAATAACGGATATGTTAACAAATGAAGGGACTGAATGATAGACTTACTGACAAAAACAAAAGGGAATTCCTTTACTTCCGGTCCCACGATCGCCAAGTGATAGCGCGTTAAGTTTGATTTGTAATTAATAAAGCTGTAGAATGACCAATTTAATTACATCGGAAGCTGAATAATGATCAAATAAGGTATCGTTGGCAATAAAAACGACGGGAAGTGTTCAAACTAGTGAGTATTGTGAGATGATAGCAGACGAAATGTCTTGAACGCGTGAAAACAACATGCCGGGTGAGAGACTTTGTATATACTTTGAATCCCATTTCTTTAAACTGTTAAAACTGTGTAAATCAAGGAGAGGAATGGTAAAAACTTCATGATGATTTTACCTTTAATAACAAGATTTCATAAGATATAAAATATATAACCATCGGAAACAGTGATGGTTCTTTCCTCGCTCTAATCTTTGACGTATGCGTCAGATTTATTATGTGGGTAAGGGGGGTGGGGGTGGATGGCTGAATGGTTAGCGTTGGCGCGCTGTATCATAAAGTCTGTCATTGAGTCGACTGGCGTGATTTCGAACACCTGGTTGTACGTGACAAGGAGTAGGGTCGCCTGTCCAACCTCGTGGGTTTTCTCCGGGTCCTCCGGTTTCCTCCCACTGCTAAAGACCCCTACGCGCATGCGAATTATTGAAATAAAATTAAACCATGTTAGTCCCGAAATGACCTAGTGTGTGTCGAATGGACGTTAAACCCCATTTCTCTCTCTCTCTATTATGTGGGAAAGATATGGTAAGGTGTTTTGAAGTGTACGATATTTGGTTTCTTCATATTTGGAATTATTTTTGTGAAAGCAGCTGTTATTTTGGATTTTAGGTGCTATTTTAAATATTTTAGAATTAAAGATGACCAAAAATTAATATTATGGTAAAGAGAGTGTTATTACAAAAATTAATTGTTCAACGAGAAATGGGGTAATGTTTTACACGCTTCCCAATGTGCGGATTATTTTGCCGATCCCATAATTGACACGGATCAAATTATTTAATAAATGTTGTTTTGAACTGACCAGAATGCGGCTTCTTATTTATATATGGACCTTTGCTTGTTAATTGTACGATTTTTAATAGCTGTAATCATAAGATATGATAAATGGTGATTGGCATAACAACTACTACAGAGTGAAAGATAATAGACTTAAAACTCTCACACAAATCCTGATTAACGGGTCATGTAAGGAATCTGACTTAGGAAAGACCATAAATGCTAAATTCTCTCCCTTAAACCCCGCATCTCTTTGTGGGTAATACATTCCAAGGGGGTCTGAAAAGAGATTTCTATTTTTCCCCAGGTCAAATTTGAGAAGCGTCGTGTTTCAGTTGCGACATCTTATTAGCGAGAGAGAGTGTGGGAGGGGTGGGGTTTAACGTCAACGCGACACAAACTAAGTCATTTCGGGACTAACACATGGTTCAATTTTATTTCAATAATTCGATTGGACAGGTGACCCTACTCCTTGTCACGTCTAATCTGGGAATCAAAACCACGCCAGTTGAATCAATGACAGACCTTATGATACGGCGCGCATGCTATAACCATTCGGCCATCCAACCACCCAATCTTATTAGCACTGTAACCCTATTAATGATAGTTTGAAATTTTACTCCCGGACAAATTAACTCGTGAGCGAATATTCTTCTTATGATTAATTAGATGTGAAGGTTTCGTTTCCCTTTAAGAAATACCGTAGGTCCATGCTTTGAGGCTGTGCAACGTGACTACGGTAAGACGCTGTCTCGCTAGCCTGGAGGTCTGGTGTTCGATCCCTGCATTGGCCAAGAAAGTTCATCCAGATTTTCCGGCGTGGTTTCCCCCTTGTCAGTGATGCAGGACGGAGGGCCTGACAAGGACAGCTGTCTAGTTTTTCGGAAGGGACGAAAAACCGAGGTCCCGTGTACACATTGGCGTGCACGTAAAAGATCCCTTGGCAGTTGGAATTCGATATACGAGTAGGCCGTAGCGCCGCTGCCCAGGCAAAATTTCCCTCATAGCACACTGTATGGCGTATGCCCGTCTTCATTAGCCCAGGTTAGGAGCAGTACAGTAGGACGTTAAACCACATTTCATTTGCAACCAATCTTTTAGTTTGATGCTACTATACCAATTGGCAACCTTTATTATATTACAGATTCACAATGTGACGGTACATATACATGGTATACATAAGATAGGGCTAGAATATTTTATGATAATAGAATTAAGAAATACATAAATAATATTACATAAATAAAAGATGCATTAGGTTTAGGTAAAGAGCCGGACTTTGTCGCTATAATAGTTTAAACATAGACAATGAAAAAGCAATATATTGAAAATTTTAGTAATATTATCTCATTTTGAGTGAAGTTATGACTGTTTGAAGAATAGTCTCGATTTTCATTGACATCGTTGTTTCAATAATAAACAAAGGTTCGATTATCAATTTTTAAAATAAGTTATTATTAAATGGCTACCGTGTTTCAATGCGTTAAAAGTCACAACCATGCTATGGTCTAGATAGTTGATTAGTGGGTTGTTTATATTTGTGGACAAATGAAAGATCTGCAATAGGCAGATTCAGCTCATACTTAATGCATCTTTAAGTTCAATATCTACAACAAGAGTACTATGCAGTAGGAAATGCACTATACACGATTCTCGTCGTTTAAGTCATTGTGATACTCATGATCAACCTAATGTGCTACTTAATGTTACGTTTGATCCGACCACCCCATGATCATTTCTTCTATTTTTCTTTCGGAAGCCACACAGCATCTGAACAAGGATATTTGAGAACTTTTTGTTCATCACTACGTAAACCACAAAATTAGCAGAAGAATTAAATACCTCAAGAAACGTGGTTATGGAGCTAGCCACGCGAAACTCATTACCAAATTCTCCACTTGGTGAGAACCTTTTATCTATCAATGAAAGAGCAAGGAAAATACTTCCGGGAAGAAGACATACGATGTATATAGAGACAATAGTCATCAACATCTTGGTCATTGCCCGAGTCTCGTTCTCTGCATTCGAGTTTTGTGTAGCATGTGTTATATCTTTCAGCCATTTTTTCCTTCGATGCATCTGTGTGATAATTGCTATAGTAAGGGTGGTTATAAAAAACATAGGCAAAACCCGCAAACCTACGGCTAGAAATACATTGTTGTAAAAATTAAAGAATTCTTTGTTCTTCAAATAGATTGGCTGATATGTTATTCGTGCCATTGTTCTGTTCTTTGTGTTGTCATAATACAAATTAACTGTCATCAAACCAAAGTCCACAGCAAGAAGTCCGATTACGATTACTGTAATAGCTACTACAGAAAATATCATCCGTTTAGGAGTTACCCACAGTTTGACTTTCAGAGGTTTGAAAACCGCAATAAATCTTTCACAGCATATAACCAACGACAACAAACTGGATGTACGACTGGTTATGAGCTCCAATATCAACGGTGCAGTAAGCATTACAAAATCAATGGTTTGGGCTGTGAGTGGATCAGCTTTACCAACAAGACAGGGCATCTTTCTCATAAATGCAATCAACAGTAACAATGTATCTATAAAGGCCAGATAAGCAAGAACAATGTTGGTACTGTACTGTCGCATTTTCTTGCCACCAAGAATAATCAAGCTCAATACGTTACCAATCCACCCGAACAGGACTACTGGTGGGAGTAAATAACAATTTATCGCCGATCGAATTACATCTGCTGTAACCTTTGTAATAAAGCTACCGGGAACATCATTGTTGTTGGAATACTGGTCATCTACTGTAGAATTCGCTTGGCTATCATTCGTTGTGGTCATTGAACTTCCAAATGTTTCCAGAGAATTTGATGTTGTATTAAAAGCCATGATTCTGAATTGGATTACTACAAAAGAAATAAATTCATTGTCACGTTAACCTATACATAGTAATCAAAACCTTATTGACATCGTGACACATTACAGCTTTGTCAGTTTGACATATTATTACTAATAAAATGTTGCATTGTTTTAAGACAGCAGAACAGACCAAGTGCGAGTTTAGTCCCGAAAACTCGGTTTCTGGAAACATTTTGAATTAATATTTGAAAGCATACTGTTCCTTTTTAAATGTCGAGGTGAGGAACATTTACTTTTCAACGCGGTGTGTCATGTTGTCAACAGCAAGGTCATCGATTGTTGAAAGCAAAATAAGACTTACACCTATAAGCACAGTCTGCAACTCCGTTAGTTTAAAGTAGCTAAGTCCGTAACTCAATATCATCCAAAATCTTTGACATTGAAAACACGAATTATTTGTCAATTTAAATCAGCATTGGTGTTGTGATCTTACCTGGAAAAGATGGGCTTCTGATATCCAATATTTAAGACAAAATAAACATTTTACCATTGGTACACGAATCGTGTACCATAATGCGTTTCAGCGCCATTTGTAACAAGGTGCTCAAAGAATGAGGCTAGACATATTCCACAAGTCAGGTCAAACGGTGATATCATGTTCTTATTTGGAGAGCATGCGCAATAAATAATATCGGTTTTGACTGGAATAACCAGACGCTAGAAACTGACTTGCGGTTGAGACTTCTGGCGTATTTCGCCGAACATAACTGATGAAAATTCACAGTGAAACGGAAACGATTGAATGTAAAACAGTTTATATAAATTCATATTACATTATTATATGTGTTGCGATCCATTTGTGCCAATTTCTAGGTCCAAAATATTAGCGATTTAGCTCCTTTAAACGAGTGTTAATCTATGTTCAGTATTGTCTTCCTAGACAGATCTAGTTGCGCTCAGTGTGTTATCAGCAATTGATGATAGTCCGGGGGCTAGTAAAGATTTAATGAACATCTCGAGTTTAGGGCCTGGAATTAGTAGATATGTGATCGGGACCAAAAAATTCGGCCTTTTTTTAAAAAAAAAAATTAATGCTTTTCACATTATCGCCATTATGGTTTTATAACACATCTCGAGCACATCCATATCAAAATGTTCTTAGGATTCTCAATGACAATTTGAATCCCTCTGAGTGGTCTATTTTGGGGATTAACCCACTTCTAAGGTGGTGAATGGTCACTATTGTACGACCACGCCCACCATATCTAAATAATGTATATATAAGTACAAGCACAAAATGGGTATCGAACTGTTCCTTGTGACCCCCTGGGGCAATATAAATCCTTCTGAGTGAGTGTTAGATTTCGGGGGTTAACCTATTTCTGAGCAGGTCAAAGGTCACCATTGGTAGGTCACGCCCAGTTCACCTTTAATATATATCTCAGCCCCTGTGGGGCAATATGAATCCTTTTATGTAGGACAAAGGTCACTATTGGTCGGCCACACCCAACCTGCCTTAAAAGTATATCTCCAGTAGGAGCACAAAATTGGTGTTGGATTGATCCTTGGTACTCTCGATGTCAAAATGAATCTTTCCGTGTTCTCACGCCCAATCCACCTTTAATTCATATCTCAGTACATACCTTAAATGCATTATCTAAGTACGTACCTTAAATGCATATCTAAGTACACGCACAAAATGGGTATCAAACTTCCTGGAGACCCTCTGTGTCAATATGAATCATTCGGGTTTGTCAATTTCGGGGATTAACCCACTTCTGAGTGGATCAAACTTCACCATTGGTCAGTCAAGCCCAATCCCATCTGTAATGCATATCCCAGTACATACCTTAAATGTCTATAGCACAAAATGGGTGTCATGTTGTTCCTTGGGGCCCCTTTGTGTCACATGTGTCTGTTGTCAATTTCGGGGATTAGCCTTAGTTAGAGTAGGTCAAAGTTCATCTTGGGATGGCCCCGTCCAGCGTGTATTGCATGCACATGGTTACGTGCAGGCAACACATACGCATGATAGGTGGCAAAATGACCATTTGTGTTCTCAATTTAGAGGATTAATTTAAGTCTCGTACAGGCAACACATACGCATGATAGGTGACAAAATGACCATTTGTGTTCTCAATTTAGAGGATTAACTTCGTATTTAATGGCGTTTCTCTGAATACCGTACATTGGCGTATAATTCCTGCCACATGTCAACAGCCTTAGTCCTTTTGTAATTTGGAACTAAATCTCAGTACAACGTCTTAGGAAGTGTTCATAAGCAGTGGTGTACCGACACCAGGCAGAGCGTATTGTACATGTTGATAGGGGGAACGAATCAACGGAAAAGAAGGTTTTACATGGTGTAAATTGCTTTTACAACAGACGTGCATTTAAGGTGGATTGGGCTTGGTCGACAAATGGTGACATTTGATCTATGCAGAAGGCGGTTAATCCCCCAAATTTGCACCTCAGGAGGATTCACGTTCCCTAGGGGGTCAAAAGAAAAAGCTTGACAACTGCCAAGCCTGTACTATGTGCTGTTACGAACCTAGTCAATTGATACCTGTGTAATGGGATCAAAAGTAGTACTTACCTTATATAGACGTCATGATATCCAAAAATGTTATATAATTATGTCGAGTCATTTATAACTATGATCACCACGGAGTCCAAATTAATCTTCACGGGTCCTTAATAGAGACTATATTGTATTTTTAGAGAATTCACATGGCAATTTTGGAACGAAACGTTACATGGTCAGCCATGATAGTTCCTAACGTCAATAGTGGACGGCCTATTTACGTTATGACATCATATATCGGGGGTATAAATAGGACTCCGAGAATTCGGCCCATTGGTTTTCAGTGCTTGCTCTTACGAAAACCTGAACTGGAAGATGGAATCTTTAATGAGACGGTAATTCGGTCAAGACCAAGCCGCGAGACGGCGGGTTAGGTATACCAAGCCAACGCCCGTCCTCCAGTCAGTAATACTACCGGATTTCATTAAGGTACAGTGGACTTAGATATAGGCCATCCAATGATCAAACAATCACAAGCCCCAAATTTTAACGATTTTTATACGTCCGTTCGTCCACAATTTGTTTGTGGACACTCTACAGGTCACAATTCTTATCCGATTTTGACGAAACTTGAAATATAGGTTTATCTCAATAAGATCTCGGTTGCTTTCAATAGTGGCATGTATCGGATAGAAACTTCATGGATTATGGCCCCTGTTTGCCCGAAAAATCACGTTTTTAGCTTGTGGACCCTATAGAGGTCACAATTTTTATCCGATTTTGTTGAACTTTGAAATGTAAGTTTATAACCCAAAGTTCTCGGTTCCTTTCGATATTCGCACATATTGGACTGTAACTTCCTGAGTTATGGCCCCTGATTGTACGGAAAATAGCGTTTTTAGCTTGTGGACCCTATAGAGGTCATAATTGTTTTCCGATTTAAAAAACCGTATTATTATATCACCGTTACACCCTAAGGACTGATGAGTTCAAATTTCGTGAAAATCGGCCCAAAATTGACAGACAAAATGGCTGCCGTTCGTTCTCAAATAGCGTAAAAATATGGTATATCAAGGTTGTGGACCCTATAGAGGTCACAATTTTTATCCGATTTTGTTGAAGCTTGAAATGTAAGTTTATAGCCTAAAGATCTCGGCTCCTTTCTATATTCGCGCATATCTTACCGTAACTTCCAGAATTATGGCCCCTGATTGTACATTGCTCCAGGGGGTACCAAAGGAACAATTTGATACCCATTTCTTGTGTCTACTTAAGCCAAACGCAGACGATGGAAAGTTTTAGCCAAACATTCGTGAAAACATTGTTTCGATCAATTTGTTCGCTTCTACTCTACGTTTCTGACTGCCTCGTAAGTAACAGACTGGATGATTTTCGAGGTATTCTGAAATGGATAATTCATTCCCTATCATTTATTTATGACTGATAAGATCATAAGATCTCGGTTCCCGTCGAAATTGGCATGTGTCGGACTGTAACTTCATGGATTATGGCCCCTGATTGTACGAAAAATCACGTTTTTAGTTTGTGAACACTGTAGAGGTCACAATTTTTACCCGATTTAGTTTAAACTTGAAATGTATGTTTATAACCCAAAGATCTCGGGTCCTTCCATATTCGCGCATATCGGAACGTAACTTCCTGAATTATGGCCCCTGATTGTACGAGAAATTGCGTTTTTAGCTTGTGTACACTATAGAGGTTATAATTTTTATACGATTTAAAAAAAAACGTATTATTATATCACTGACAGACAAAATGGCCGCCGTTCGTTCTCAAATAGCGTAAAAATACGGTATATCAAGGTTGTGGACCCTATAGAGGTCACAATTTTTATCCGATTTTGTTGAAACGTGAAATGTAAGTTTATAACCCAAAGTTCGTGGTTCCTTTCGATATTCGCGCATATCGGACCTTAACTTCCTGAATTATGGCCCCTGATTGTATGAAAAATCGCGTTTTTAGCTTGTGGAGCTCATAAAGGTCATAATTTTTATCCGATTTAAAAAGAACGTATTATTATATCGCCGTTAGACCCTAAGGGCGACTGAGTTCGAATTTCGTAAAAATTGGCCCAAAACTGACAGACAAAATGGCC